GCCTGTGGGCTGTCTTTGAGTACGAACAAATGCTCATTTAAGTACTCCATAGTAAAGTTTTTTTAGGTGTAGTTTGTGTGCATAACAATTTTGCGGACTTTCTCACATTAAAAATATTTTTTTATTATTTTATTTAAAAAAATTAATGCTCATTAAAATAGTAAAAATGTTTATTTTATTCATATGTAAGTCCACGATGGACCTTAGGTACACCATACAATTTGCCCAGTAACTAATGCAGAGTAATATAAAATGGGCAAGGTTCCAATTACATTAACCCTTCATTCATTCTATGACATGAGTAGGGCTGGGTTGGGAAAACCGAAAACCGCAAACCAAACCGAAACCGATCGAAACGAGCTAGAAAAAAAACCGAACCGAAAAAATTGAAACCGAATGTAAAAAAACCGAACCGAACCGTTAGTGTTTGGTTCCGTTTTGGTTTTCACTTTGAAAAACCGAACCGAACCGAATAAACCGAACTTTCTTAGATACTTCACTTTTTTTATATAAATATATGTGTACGTAGAAAAATCATAGAAATATAAATGCAAATAAATTACTAGTCGATTGAAATTATTTTCTTAACTATTAATTAAACATTTTAGCCATACTATTATAAACTTTTAAAAAATCTAAGAATATAAACACCAATAGCTAATCCAAATATAGAATTATATTAACATTAACCACATGATACGAGTAATTTACATATTTACATAAAAAATACTTTGATGTTATAATGAAAATGAAAGTATTATACCAAAAAACACAAGTTCTTCGTAATTAATTTTACATACGATGTCTTTGGAAGTATTTGGAATCTCCTAAATGTTTGTTGGGTACTCAACACATATTTTTTTTTATGTAACATTGAACCGAATGATACAATAACCTTCCGTTTGATTTTTGTTTTTGTGTAAAACTCAAACCAAAAAACCAAACCTAACACAACATATTGTTATTGCTCCATCGAGTTAGTGTTTTTACAATTTTTTAATGCTTATAAATTTCTACTTTTATAAACCGAAAAACCCGAAAAAAACCGAAATAAAAACCGTATAAAACCGAACCAAATAACCAACGGTTTACATATTTTTTATGCAAAACTGAACCGAACCGAACCGCCAATTTACTTTCCGTTTTGTCTTTGGTTTTGGATGAAAACCGAACCGCAAAAACCGAACCCACCCCTAGACATGAGCTTCGTTTGGGGTTCTTACGATGCTCCGTTCAAAAAATTGATGATTCATATCCCCCTAACACCCCGATAAACCACCCAACTCAGCCAGATCCGAACACACCCCCCTCTCCCGTCAATTGCATCCCGCAAGATGTAGTTGAGTTTTGAGTCAAAATTTAACTCCAAAGTCAACTACATCTTGTGAGGTGCAGTAGACAGGGGAGGGAGGGTGGGTTCAGGTAAGGCCAAGTTGGCTGCTACAGTCCAGTTCCCTTTGGATTCTCCCTTGTCGGCACTCTCCAACCCCAAAAATCATACCGGGTGATTTTCGAGGTATGATTTTATTGAAATTGGGGACGAATGAGGGAATAAAGTGGATTGACCGGTAGACTTTCCGAAGTGTATTGGTCAAACCTTCGGTCAACCAATTACTCTTTTACTGTTGTTTTAAGGCCTCTCATTCCAAAAAATCAACCTTGACCGGTTGGATATTTGAATGCCTTCCTTGACCGGTTCTGAGTGGAATACACCTATCAATAGAAAAATAAAATCAAACTTTTTTAAAAAATATTTTCCTACAACTAAAGAGACCCTAAAAGTAAAAGTCTTCAAAACGGCGACTTCGAAGTCTTGTAACCTGGTCTGATCTCATGGCAATATTGTGCAGGTCACAAGTTCAAAGTGTTTGAAATTTCGTAGGTCATATGTTTTTCTTCTCAATGTAGGACTTTTAGTCATTATGCATTAGTCATTATTCAAGCAAATATTCGTTATCATTGAACATTATGGACATTATTAAGTACTATTTAGAGAATAAAATAGTGTAAGTGTCATTTAGAGAAATGACTTAAATTTTAGTGCTATTTAGTGCAAATATTTCAATATAGTATGAAGAATTAAGAATGATGTATGACGCAAGAGATAGTGGGATCCAACTGGTTTGTTGTTGATAGTGGGATCCAACTGGTTTGTTGTTGTTGTTTGTTGTATGACGCAATAGATGCTTATGAGGTTTCAAGTTTCAACTGCGACCATTTCAATACGAAATACGAATGCGTATGAGGGACAAACAGATAAAGTAGAAATTATTTTAAAATAATCTAAAACACGGTGTTTGTACTTATTTCAAAATAATTTTAAGATTTTACAATAAAAATGGAAACAAAAATATTTTATTTTATAAAATAATTAATTAAAAAATAAACAGAAATAAAAGTTATCAAAAGCTTGGAATTATAAACATAAAATATTTTTTGTGATGGATCGATGTAGTATTTATTTTAATTTCTAACTAAAAAAGAAAGCAAATGTTAGGACAGTGCATGCAACCCAACTCCGCATTAGTATGATATTGTCTACTCTGAATTAAGCCCTTATGGATTTGTTTTGGGCACTTCCCAAAAGGCCTTTACTTAATAGAATTCTCACACCAGCTTCAGCTATCCTAAGGGAAACTTCGGAGGGAATCTTTCCTTCAAAGAATTTTATGAATGTAAAACACATACTCCCTCCGTCCCAGTGTATTTGTTCACTTTCATTTTTAGACACCATCCAATGCGCTTCTTTAATCCATTTTATCTTGTAATTTGTAAATTAAAAAATTATAGAAATTATATATTAATAATCTATATGTTAAGAAAAATCAAACAAGATCACACATGACTATATTTAGGCTTATACATTGAGAGAATTTGATGAGTCAAAGTGCTTAGATGAACAGTTCCAAAAGTCAAAAGTGGACAAAAATTGGAGGACGGAGAGAGTAAGATTTTATGAAATCAGTGTCATATTTATTGTATATCTGACATAAGTATATTTTAAATTTTTGCCAATAAGTACATCCAAATAGAAATGAGGATACAGCTTACTTAATTATTTTGATCGAAAAACAAAGTGTACACATTTACAAAAATTTAATTTCTATTTTAGGAAAATAACTAAATTAAGCATGAAGAGAACCTAGAAAAAATAGATTTGGGCATTTTTTATGGTCTGATATTTTTTAAATGAACTCTTAAAATAATTTCAAAAGTTCAATACGCTATATAATTTCATACAATCTCTCTCAACTATAATGTATTGTACGTTACTAAGTTTTTATGATATACTCCGGGTATAATTTAATACAAATTATTTTGTAAAATCATTCTCCCTCCATCTCAAAAAGAATTTCTCACTTCGAACAACGTACAAAATCTCATTTATTTTAAAATTAAATTAAATTTCTACAAACTTGTATAAAAATAAAAAATAAACTACATATTTTAAAACAAAATGTAACAAGAATATTTTATTTTATTAAATAGTCAATTAAAATAGATAAATAAATACAAATTAAAGGGAACTCAGAATAGTAACTGAGATGGTATTTCAAGGACAGAGGAATTATATAATTATATTGTTAAACATTTAATAAAATAATTAAAAAATAAAATGTACTTCGTAATATAAGTGAATATCGTTGAAAAACATAATTATGTTGTAAACTAATAGCCTTCTTTGGAAATAAACTTTTTAATTGGTCTTTTGGTTAATTTTTTTAATGGTACAAATTAATTTTAAAAATGTTGTCAGACATATTTTTTAAAACATTAAAACTAAACATTGACGTTTTTGCCAAATGGCATTGTATCTCACCTTTATTTCATGTATAATAATTTATTAATTATACTAAATTCAAATAGGGAAATTAAATTCCTTTATTATATTGTGTATATGCTTAAATTTCTATAATTCTTTCTTTGTCAAAATCAATAGGGATGGAGGCATTAATATATTTAATTAGTTTAAAATTGTATATTGACTTTGTAATAGTAGCTGAAAATTGTTTCAGGTACAAAAAAATATGTTTTATATAAGTTATGAAATTACTTTATTTTATTATTATTTTATTCACATTGATGATGATGATACAAATAATAAAATTAATTATATTAACAATACGAAAAATACTCCAAAATATTTATATTTTAGGGCATCTTTGAAACAACTAGGAAAAAGTTGAAGAAACTAAAATGGATTAGAAAGTATTGAAATTTTAGAGTTAGAGTCCAATAAAAGTATAGAACATAATATAATTATAAAGGAAAAAGAAAATAATGAGTAATTATTAAATAGGATTATTATTATTATTATTATTATTATTATTATTATTATTATTATTATTATTATTATTAAAGTAATCAAACCAAAAAAGTAGGATAACAAACGCGTAGAATGAGATTGAAGAAATTTTGTAATTTTAGAAAAATAAAGGAAACTTATTAATTAATCATATGTAGGAGTATTATGTGGCATAGAAGTACAAATGTCAATTAGTGAATGGAATGGAAGCACCAAAGAAAAACCCATTTTATTATGAAAGCCAACAGTATATTGCGTTTAGAAAGTTGAAACCAAGCTCAAAATTAAGAATTAAGCTATTTGTACACAAAAAATTGTACTCCATTTTATACCATGAAGATATGCATCAACACCTTGTGCTAGTCTGCTAGACACTAACACAAAATGTTAGTGTAAATTTTTTTGATTGACCTAACATTTTATATCAGTGTGAACCTTTAAAATATCGATGTAATTTTTTGTATTACAACTTGGAGTACACTTTTTGGTGTACCCTTAGCATGGTTGCAGAATTAAACATGTCTCTATTCATTATGAATTGGAGGAAAAATATGATATTCCATGCGTCATTCTTATTACGTCATTATATTAGATGAAATTGCGTGCATCATGAGGAGAATTACATAGTTATTTCCTAACCACATCCAAATGACTCAACAGTCGTTGGTATGACCTTCACAATTTCAAACTCTTTGACTACATATAGTTTACCCACTATTTATATATACACACACTTCCCCTTGCCTCTCAAGTAAAACTAAAAAACATTCCTCTCTATCCACTTATAATCACACCAAAACGACTATAGAAAACTTATAATTCTTTATTTTCCTAGATATGGATCGACTGCCAAAATGCGGGGCGAATTATGTGCCACTGACCCCCATCACATTCTTGAGAAGGGCATCAAAGTGTTACGCCAACCGCACCTCCCTCATCTACTCCGGCGTCCGCTTCACCTGGCGCCAGACCTACCTCCGCTGCCTCCGCCTCGCCTCCTCCCTCCGCCGCGCTCTCAATGTCGCCAAGAACGACGTGGTACGTATTCCATCTTCGAGTTGGACCCGTTTACCATTACTTTTAATTTTCTTTCCTAATAATGTGTTTGTGTATTTAATTAATTTATAGGTTTCGGTGCTGGCCCCGAATGTGCCCGCAATGTACGAGATGCACTTCGCAGTCCCGATGGCTGGGGCGGTGTTGAACGCCGTCAACACCAGGCTGGACGCGAAGGGCATCGCCGTCATCCTCAAGCACTCCGAGGCCAAGGTCTTCTTCGTCGACTGCGAGTACGTGGACAAGGCAAGCAAGGCACTTGAGCTGCTGATGGCATCAAACACTCCAATGCCGCTAGTGGTGGTTATCGATGACGTCGCCTCCCCCACTGGGACCCGGTTGGGCGAGCTCGAGTACGAACAGTTAGTGTTCCAAGGTCGCCTACCCGATCGCGAGGAGGCCGTTGCGGTGGATGACGAATGGGACGCGATCACGCTGAGCTACACGTCGGGCACCACCTCCGAGCCCAAAGGGGTCGTGTACAGTCATAGGGGAGCCTTTCTGAGCACTTTGAGCTTGATTTTGGGGTGGGAGATGGGAACCCAACCCGTCTATTTGTGGTCACTTCCCATGTTTCATTGCAACGGGTGGACCTTCACTTGGGGGATCGCCGCCCGCGGCGGGACAAATGTCTGCATCCGCAACACCACTGCAGGAGAAATGTACAATGCCATAACGGAGCACGGTGTAACCCACATGTGTTGCGCCCCCATCGTGTTTAACATTCTGTTGGAGGCGCAGCCACACGAGCGCCGGGAGCTGGCTTCTCCAGTCAGCATTCTAACCGGAGGGGCCCCGCCTCCCCCGGCGCTCTTGGAAAGGATCGAGGCACTTGGGTTCCACGTCGTGCACGCTTACGGCCTCACCGAGGCCACCGGACCTGCCATGGTCTGCGAGTGGCAGGGAAAGTGGAACCAGTTGCCCGTAGAAGAGCAGGCAGGCCTGAAGGCGAGACAAGGGATCAACATACTCACACTCGCGGACGCCGACGTGGTCCGAGATCTCAGAACCATGGAGAGGGTCCCGCGCGACGGGCGGAGCATGGGCGAAATCGTCCTCCGGGGAAGCAGCATCATGAAGGGCTACTTCAAGAACGAGAAGGCCAACTCCGAGGCCTTCAGAGACGGGTGGTTCGTCACCGGAGACGTTGGGGTCATCCACCCCGACGGTTACCTGGAAATCAAAGACCGGTCCAAAGACGTGATCATCTCCGGCGGGGAGAACATCAGTAGCATCGAAGTGGAGAACGCGATCATGAAGCACCCGGGCGTCTCTGAAGTCTCGGTTGTAGCCATGCCGCACCCAAGGTGGGGCGAGAGCCCGTGCGCCTTCGTGGTCCGGAGAGCCGCTGCCAATGCCGGTAACACGAGCGAAGCGGACATCGTCGCACATTGCCGGAAAACTCTTTCCGGTTACATGTTGCCAAAGAAGGTCGAGTTCGTGAGAGAATTGCCAAAGACATCCACCGGGAAAGTTCAGAAACACTTGCTTAGGGAGATGGCGAAGACGTGGGCGGAAATTAGCAGGGGTGATGAATCCGCTGCAACAAGTATTAGTAAGAGGAAACCCCACAAGGAAAAACAGCTACCATATGCTAATAATAATAATAATTACCATTATCAACCTCAAGAGCAAATCCTTGCTTTGTCCCGTTTATGACTTCTATCTACTGCTCCGTTCCACTACATAACCAATGCTCCGCCACCGCACTTCCACCGTCATATTCTCACTACCAACACGGCGCTGCCTCCATCACCGTCACAATACCGCCATCACCACCGTACTGCCACTGGATTTCCGGCTGTATGAGGCCACCACACTGGCAGGGATTTCACTGGAATTTTATTTTTTTGTAAAGATATCACAAGTACTCCTTCATCAAGAGACAATGCAATTAGCTGGATTTAATAATTTACTTAACAGCAGACTTTGGACATATGAAGTGTTCTTAATATTCTATCTACTGCAATTGATTAGGCTTTGGTTTCATTTGAAGGTTGAGAATTGAAATGTACTCACCGCCTTCATCAGTGTTAACAGTTGAAGAATTGAATTATGGGTATCATCTCGCCTTTCATTTCTTCTTAGATCCATTTTTTTTTGAGATGACCAGATCCGAACCCGGATCCGAAGCTTTGTATCTCTTGAACTGGATCTGGGAGGATTCGCGGTTGCTTCCGTTGAAGGTATGGAGAGAAGTGACGCAGCAATCCTTTTAGGCTGCGCCGGCAGGTGACCACCGTGTACTCTTCTTCCAGGCTGCCTGGTTCCCGGAGGAGTCGCGTCCGAATTCTGTATAGATTCACTGGGATTGGAGTAGAGCCTCTGGATTTTTGGCCGTGTGAGACCACATCGGCGGAAATTTCAACAACGGCAATACAGTAGAGCTCCCATGGTTCGGGTTAGGTTACTTCTGATTAGATTGGGTTCATTTAAATTTGAGTCAATTCAAATTCGGGTTGAGAACTGTACGTTCATGACTCAGTATTGTGAAATTTTGGATCATCCTAACATATTATGACTTTGGTTTTTAAAATTTTTAAATTTATATTAACACTTGTATTTCACATTAAATAAAACTAAAATATCAAAAAATATGTATTAAATCTATTATATTATTTTATTTTCAATTACGAAATAATTTTTTGATATATAAATCAATATAAAAATTTAAAAAATGCATAATTTTTTTAAAAAAGTAAGATAATTATGCAATATTCCTAAAATTTTGTCTGAAAATATTAATTTTTACACTAATAATGAAAAGTAAGAAAAAATATATAATTATAATCTTATTTTTATAACATTATATTTCCTAGTAAAGTACTCCCTCCGTCCTTGAGTATTTGTCTATTTTTAATTTTCTTTTGTCAAAATTGGTAAACTTTGACCTCAAATCAAATAAAAATGATATTAGATATTGTTACTAAAATAGTTTTATTATATTTATTATATCAAATATTTTCTAAATATTATTTTATCTAATCAATATACAATATATATTTTATTTAATTATAGGTCAAATGTTGAAAACAATTGAACGAAAAAAGTTAAAACTGGACAAATACTCAGGGACGGAGGTAGTATATAATTTTGAAAATTTCTTGCATTAGTAGGTTGGTCAGATCAGCTTCGGATTCAGTTAGATTTGACCCATTTTTAGCAGGTCATTTTTTGTCAGGTCTACAATTCAGGAAGGAAAACTAGTACATTGATAAGACTCTTATATTAGTCATTTTGATTAATTAATTTAACAATGGGGGAAATTCTTGAACATCATTAGATGCATGTTGTTTTATAAATCTTATCACATAAAAATGAATATTTAATTACTCAAAAATGAATATCCACGAATGTACAAAAAACACCTAGAACCAGTTGTACAATATATGTCACGATAAAATGGTTAACAAAGAAAGGAATTGTAGGCAAAGAATTTGGCCATGATGGAAGTTATTCCATCCATGATCAACATTCAAATCATCCACAATTCATCTTGATTTCGTGTATAGACCCTTTCTCGCTAAAAGGAGCTCAATTGAATAGAGAATAGACATACATACTTTAATATTATTGTTCTCGATTATTATTTCAAGTGATTTAAAATCCATCACTTTTACTTACTCACTACCCTAAGCATGCCCTTTAGAAAGACTCATAGCCCTAACACCATTTATACGTTGCCCAAACAAATACCCAGTAACGGTGCAAGACGTACTCACCGCAGAGGTACGAGAAACATCATACAACCAGTTGTGCGGTATATACTACGATAAAAGGGATGACTGAGAAGGCAATTGTGGGCAAAGAATCCATGCGTGATGGAAGTTATTCCATCGACGATCAACGTTAAAAATAAGTCATAATCCACCTCGATTACGTGTATAAATAGACCTTTCTCGTTAAAGAGGAGCTCAATCGAATAGAAGTAGACCTACATATTTTGAGATTATTGTTTTGGATTATCATTTCCGGTGATCTAAAATCCATCACTTTCACTTAGAGCTTGTTCTCTTTATCTGATCTGTTTGAAATAAGTTCTAACCTGATATTAGTAAAGCTACTTGTGATTTAATCTAATCTAGTCTGGCATAATATGATTCTAATAAGAATAAGTAATACTACGTAAGTAAGTTGAAGAGAACAAGCTCTAATTCATTATCCTAAGCATGCCCTTTATACATGACCAAACAAATACCCAGTAACAATGAGTCATTAATTTTTACAGCGCCAGCTTTAGCAGAAAAGACCTTTTAATCCCAGCACAAGCCATAATCATACTCCGTATATTACTAGTCCACCACGTACTGCCTACTTTTATACCTGAAAATATTCTTATATAGCTTACTGATAGAGGAGCACTTCTGAAATTGATTTTCCATGGTTCTGGTTCAAGTTCTTGCCAGATGGGAAGGCGTTGTTGATGGTTGAACAAGTGCTTTTGCATATGCAATGGGCAATGAAAGAAGTTTCTTCGGCTTGCTAACATAAGCCCTCCTCGTGAAGTTGTTGTAGTCATTTGCTTCAATCTCATCTAATATCTTGCGGTACAACAGCAGCGACGCCCACACCTGAGAGCAACAAGAAAGAGAGTATGAAACGCTCGGATCATAGTTTACTTGCTCCGTTCTCTTTTAGCGGACCATTACGACTTCTTTGGTACATTTGAAAAAACATGAATGAATGTGGACATGACGCATGTCCACGTTCATTCGAAGTCCTGACGTATCACAAAAGTTATAATTTTTGCTTAGTTAATGTGAATGGAGAGAGTAAGTAGTTACCGGCCACCTACTGGCAGAGCTAAGATCGGTCACTCCACTCTCGGCCTCGTCAAAGAACTTCCTCGCTCGCTCAATTTGCTTCTTCATGAAGTTCCTCCACTTATCAGTAACTTTTCCAGCAAATATGTCATCGTCACAAAGTCCCGCTTGGGCAAGTTCATCTTGAGGTAAATAGACCCTCCCACGTCTCGAATCCTCGCCTACATCCCTGAGGATGTTAGTCAGCTGGTTGGCAATGCCCAGAGCCAAAGCAGCGTTGTAGACACTCTCTGTAGTCGCAGTCGATTCGGGAGCAATCCCCATCACAGGAACACTCATCAAACCCACAGTTCCAGCCACATAATAGCAGTAAAGATACAGCTCGTCGAAGTTGCTGTATCTTGACTTCCTGAGGTCCATGCGCATTCCTTCAATCATGTCTCTGAAGGGCTGCAACCAACCAAAGACTCAAGAATTATGGGATATGCGGAGGAAAATGTTTTTTTTGGAAGAAAAAAAAAGAAATATAAAGAAATAAAAAATGAATCCTTTTCTGGACCTGAATATCAATGGGGAATCTGGAGACAGTGTCTGAGAGGGCAGCGTCAAGCATGTCAAACGGGCGCCCTCTAAAAACATCATCCAGCCTAGTCTCCCATCTGTCTAGGGCAGACGGTGTTATATGGGATGCATTAGGCCCATCAACAAGTTCATCTGTTCTCCTACACCATACTGCTCAAAAATAGGATAGCAAATCAACAACTGTTTGTTTCAAAATATTACACTTAAGTAGCCTAAGGTAGTAATAAAATAGCACTTCTTTTATCAATATGTTTGGTAAAAAAATTAGTTAACAGAAGACGTAAACCTCATTTTAAGTTTCGTTTTATGATAACAATCTACCGTGTGGACCGTCTAAACTTGAAGTTTGCACAATTCAGATCATCTCTGTAATTAACAAGCTAAACTTGAAGTTTGCACAATTTAGATCATCTCTGTAATTAATAAGATGCATCAGATTCTCACCATATATTGCCCAAATAGCTCTTCTTCTCTCAGATGTCATTAACAGGGTCCCTGTAAAAAAAAATCATTGAAACGATGATTTTCCTAAGCACCCAAGTAATTCTTCTTATTAACCAACGGAGACGAAGCAATAGGCTCACCTAAATAAAAAGTCTTTGCATACTCTGCACATATTTCACGACAGCGATCATAAGCTTCGTCCAAAAGGCCCAAATGTCCTGGAAGAACGATATTTGGCTTCACCCCCGAATCATCGTCTCTGGATCTCAATTTCCTCTTGACCAAAGCAGCCTGCTTCAGCACCACATCGTACACCTTCTGCTCAGATGACATCATCACATCCTCGGCTGGATGAGCCACAGCACTCGAGAGTGCATACAATTTTTCTCCTCTCTTTAAGCTCGACCCTCCCATCGAAAAAGATGCTAAGTTCTGTCTTTGTTTCTTATCCCTCTTAACCCTACCATTGCACATCAAACTCTTATTCCTCCTGAAAAACCCAGACGGATCCAAGAATCCGCTTGATAGCTCCGAAGAGGGAGAAACAATCCGCATCAAGGAAATCAACATCTTTGAGGGGAGAAACTTTCTGAACAACTCCTGAAAGATTTGGTTTTTTTTCTTTCCCTTCCCTTACCTTAATTTGTCTTGCTTGGCTGGTTTATAGCAAAAAATGGAAAATACCCACTAAACCCTATCCACTTTCAAGCAATGCCCACCGTGCTTTTTTTCTTTGCAAAATAGTATGCAAACCCCACCAACTAATCAAACCCGCCTTGCCTAAATCAACACACAGTGCGGTCAGTGCCTTGTGTTTACGAACATTAATGTCACCTATTATCTCCTTCTGCAGAATAAGATGAAGAAAATAGACAATTCATCATAATTTGTTCACTAAATATGAGAATGAACAACTAAATCTAGACAAAGGGGTACAGCTAAACAACTTGATCTAAGCCCGCAAATGCTGAACTATAGCATCAAACATCCTTTTTAAGAGAATCAGATGGAGCTCCATAACTCCATAAGTAGTTAATCATCAGAAAAAGCACAAAGCAAGGATCTTTAAAATTGAGAATAAAAAAAATCCCAAAATTATGCACCCGACACCACACGATCCACACCTCCTGGTAGGTCATTGGTGGTTACTATATTTAGCTTAATTCATAAAAATAGTGTGCACCATAAACATCCTCCTTACACGTATACCTATCTTGAATACAGACCAAGACTTCAATGTGAAAGCCAACAATACAAATTTAAAGAATGTAAAAGAAGAAAAAGAAACGGACCTGTTTATTTGCTTCGGGGAAATTAAAGAATGAGACGGACAGGGATTCGGTGTATCAGCATCAGCTGAAAAAATGACTCCCCAAGAATGGGCAGGCAAAAAACCCTTTTGATTTCAAGAGCTTTCTTGGGGATTTGCAAGAATATTTTTCTGCTTTTTGTTGAAATAGAGAGCTTGAAAAGTATGGAGACTCTGCTGGCTCTTTCGCTGCCGTTCATGTTCTTGTCACCGATAAAATGGGGGTGCGCTCTCTTTCACTCTTATTTTTTTTACCACTACATTTTAACCACTGTCACCAGTCCACCTCCACGGCGGCTCCATTCGGCTTTCACTATTTCATACCCCTTGTCAGTTGTCAACTCAACTTCTTCGCCCCATTTGTATTCCGGGTCCGTTTTATGTTTGGAATGGGGTAGAATGGTTTATTAGAAATTGATTTTGATCTAATTTGATTGTGAATATATTTAAAACTGCTATCTGATCTCATTCAATTTAGTCCGATCTGAACTGTAATAATAAGTAAGAAGAATAAGTTGAAAAAAACATTAGTCTATCAATGCTTTATTTTTCTCAACTTTCAATATTTTCAAACCGTTTTTTCAACTACATTCTGTTTTTTTAAGTGTTATCCTGTTTCTTCTAACTCTTTTAAGTTTCATTCAATATTAACTAAATAAAATTATTTAAATGTATTTTTCATATTATTCATATTCTTATAATAATAATAATAACAATAATAATAATTGTATCTATAACCAATGTGAATATAATTAAAAAATACTATCACTATTTTATAGAAAAAAACTATTATAATTATATAGTCAATATATATTATTAAAATGTTAAATTAATTAGCTTATTATATATTTCTCTTTTGTAGTTTTGTAGTATTTTATAATCATGTTTCTTTGAAATGACATTAACTTTACTCCCTCCATTCTAAAGTAATGTACCCCTATGGATCAACGCGCAAAAAGTTCATGACTTTTAAAATTGATTTTATTCACAAATTGGTATTGAAATAAATAGTAATAATTCTCCTATATATATAAAAGGTATATCAAAAGTTTTCAAAACAAGATGTGACAATAATATTTTATTTTATTTTATCATCAGATTAATGAAAACATGAATTAAATAAATGTTATCAAGATGTCATAATAGTAAAAAGATAAATCATTTTGAGACGAAAGAAATATTAAATTTTAGTTTCTTAATTACTTCATTGAATGTTTAGAAATTAAAGAGAAGACCATTCTCTTTGGGAGGAAAGTGGATGGAATGAGTTGGGAGCACCAACTCTCCTAAGGCTGGGGGTATAGGGCATGGGGTGTTGAATTGGCATTGAGGGAGGGAGGGGAGCGCCTCCCCTCCTTGTGGGAATGGAAAAGATGTGTTCTCTTTCTTATATTCCCCGTGGCTTGGTTCATCCCCATGTTTTGATCGTTCAATACTTTTTTTTTTATTTTTTTAAATTCCATTCATTAAAATCAAAAAAAGTAATTTAAAAAAATTCATTATTTAAACACCACATCCCACTCACCATTCTAAACATGTAATTCCTTCTTTTTCTTCTCAATTCTTCACATTCATTGTCTGACAAAAGATTCATCTTATTATTATTATTATTATTATTATTATTATTATTATTATTATTATTGAAAGAATTATTTGGGAAGAAATTCTCTGTATTTCTCTCTTGATCTTGTTGTGAATACAAAGATCTAACCCTCTTTATATAGAAAGAGGGTAAAGTAAACAAGGAAATTTCTATTCCTACTAAAATAAGAATTAAACAAACTAGGAAAGATATTAAATACTAAATCTAATCCAACTAGGAAAGATACTAAACCTAATCCTAAAGGGATTCGGTTTCCTTCTTCAATCCTAGGAAAGATATTAAATACGAAATCTAATCCAACTAGGAAAGATACTAAACCTAATCCTAAAGGGATTCGGTTTCCTTCTTCAATCCCGCTTCCTTCTTCTGTCTCTAACACTTTCCTTCTTCAATCTTGTTTCCTTCTTTTATCTCTAACACCCCCCTTCAAGCTGGAGCATGAGAGTTCAACATGCCCAGCTTGGACATAAAAAAAACGTTCCCTCGGTTCGCGCATCTGCGCAAGCTTCTCCGGCAGGTCCCACGTGCAATTCATACACGTACAAATTGGAAACTGCTCCAAACCACAGAAACTGAGCAACAACCGTTGGACGCGATGCCGGACGATCGTGAACAGTAACCGCGATCAAGAGAAACTGCTGTCGCGACGGTCGACCCACTCGACCGTTCTTCAGCAACGGTCGACCGTTCCAGTACTTCAGCAGCAACAACAGGCCGGCGACGATCGATGGACGCGATGCCGGTCGATCGTGCACAGTAAACGCGGAAAGAGTTGTTTGTCTCCGTAGAACAACCCTTGTCCGACCACTTCGTCAAGAATGAGGGAGGACAATAAAAAAATAAAAAAATCACAATATCCCACCGGTAGGCATTGAATTGTGTATGCCCACCGGCAGGGGAAGAAGCGTGTTTGAGGTCTCAAGAATTCAAACCTGGCTCCGATACCATGTTGAAATATTGGAATAATAATATTGCTCCTTGAATTATGGGGTACATGATAGAGTATATATAGGAGAGACTCCTAACACAACTAGGAATATAGAATAGAAACTAACTAACATACAACATCTACCACAAATAGGATTAGGAAGCTGACTAATAATGAAACACTACCACAACCAATACTACCACAAGTAATACTATTATTATTGTCTAACAATTATTATTATTATTATTATTATTATTGTTATTATTATTATTATTATTATTATTATTATTATTATTTTGTTCTATTCTTGTTCATATATTATTCTGATTTTGTTACAATGTCGTCTCTTCCTGTGATACGATGATAACTTTTTCTTCTTCTTCTTCAAATGAAGCCGAAATTTTGTTCACAAACGTGATAGTGGAGGCGGCAAAAGTTCTATTGATCCTAACATGCATAAATCAGAAATGTGTCAGAGCCTAGAAGAAGAAGTAGTCAATTGCCACGAGTTCGCTCACGTATAAAAATTTAAATCCTTTCTACGCTTCGTTATTAAATCCCAATTAAATTTAAATAATAATATCTTTTTTTGCTTTAAATTATGTTATGCACATCCTAGCTGGTCACAACCGATTTGTGACCGATTACTTTGCAGGAAATCCAGTCCACACCGATGAATAGTTTAGGTGTCACTTTATATGAGTCACCATCTTTTCTTCCATATTGTCGATGATTTGGCACACCAATCCTTTTTTACTCTACAACTAGATGCCAGGTAGAATTTGGACTTTAGTACCTTACAAAAGTGAACCGCGGCGGTTTAACTACTGGCATATGGTATATCCACTGACGCACTTGATGATTCTATGAGGATGTCAGCGAAAACATCTCATGAATGCTTGTACAAGTTTGCCAAATGGGTCATCAACTTATACAATAAGCAGAGATGATATATCATCTAATGCGTGATCACAAAAAAATTAACGTATGTAATCGTATTATGCTACGTACATAACATAATCCTCAAAGAAACTGTAGTATATATAAATGATGTTTGTGGTCACAGACATTTTCTCCAATCCTCATAGTATGAAAATTATGGTCCTATTCTGAGGAAAGAAAATTAAACTCTATTTTACAGCAAATTTATATTGTTGTGTTAACGAAGGATGTTAGTTTTTTAACAAACAAACTTTTACTAATATCCAATATAATTAAAATAATGATTAAAAAATATCCTATAAAAGTTAAAACATTGTGTTTTTATCTCATAAAGAGGAGTATATGTTCAAAATTCATTATCTTAAAGAATCAAAATTTATTAAAAGTTTAGCATTTAAAAAAGTACGGAGTAATAAAATACTACCATTTTTACACTACCAACTACAAAGTAGTAACTTATCTTATTGTATTTGTCTAATTTTACTCTCAAATTGTATTACTTGTTAGTACAATAAAATAAAAAATTGAAAGTCCCAACAAGATAAATCTAATAAAATCAATTTTTTACTATTATACATTACAATTTTTGAATAACTAAAGCTCAAAATTGATGCAATTTGTCTTAAAAAGGACAAATTTACTTAAATAGCACCAAAACATAGTGAATTTCCCTATATAACACCACAAGTTTTAATTTCCATATCTAGTACTAATTAATTATTTGTTCTAGTGTAAAAAATGCCCTTTATATGATTTTATATTTACTGACCCATCACGACCTACTGTCCTTCAATTCATCAGCCGCCGATCCCAAAATGTCAACGTCATTGTCCAATCGTCACTCTGTTAATATCTATTATGTATGATTTGATGACATGATAATCAGTCTTCTGTATGTCTCACAAATAATCTAATTTTTCATAAGCGTATGAAGCATGTGGGTACCGGTTGTCACTTTGTTCGTGAACAAGTTATCGCTGGGACTATGAAAGTGTCACATTTTTTTTCTAAAGACCAGCTGGCTGATTTGCTGACCAAACCATTGTCAAAACTGTGCTTCCAGAGACTTGCTTCCAAGCTTTCATTCGTGACACGGTGTTCAACTTGAGGGGGATGCTAGACAACTAATTGTGGTATTATTAATTATGGTAGGCTTTGTATTTTTAGTCAGCTACTATTTGTATTTCCTAGTTCTAGTTGGGGTTGTATTCCTCTCTATAAATACTCTCATGCATTCTTAATTCCTTGATCAATACAATTATTCACTTGTTCTTTTATTCAATAGAGAGTGATTAATGTTGGAGTTGGTGATGTTGAATTCCTCTCGAATTCATTTATGGTATGTTTGGAAACATGGATTTGGATTTCAAATCCGGATTTGGCTCAAATTTATGTTTGGGAAACTTAAAAATTTTAAATTTAGATTTGAGTCAAATTAGACTCATTCAAAACAAAGCTTAATTTAAAATCCATGCAACTCATCTTGTCATTTGAAATTAAAGTTTTGAAATTATAAAATTGAAATGCATGAATTGAAATGAAATGCTAGTTCTCAAACACTACCTTATATAATTGTACCAAAATCTAATTAGGAGGCTTTTTGTGAGCAGTGTGACTATGGTGCACTTAGAGTACATACCATTTCGTGAACCTTCGATTCTCACATAATTTTTTTAGTTTTATTTTTTTTAAAAAAT